TATTATTATTATTATTATTATTATTATTATTATAGTACTATAGTAAAGACTTGTACATTTTAATATTATCCAATGCTTGAAAAAATGTTAAAATAGATGTTTTGAAAAGGAGTCTTACAGAGTGAGATTAGGTGACCTGTGGGGAATAGGCAGTCTAAGCCTCAGGCTTCTTCTATATGCCAATGAATGTAGGAGTATGTAAAACATTTCATTAGCTTTGTTTTAAGAAGTCACCTTGTAAAATGATGCAGTCAAACCAGCCTGCCAGTTACCCTGCTCACTAGCAGTTAAAGACGGCAGGTGGTTTTGGCCAACCTAGCTCTTAAATGCATTTTGTCCCCACATTTTTAATCTAGCTCTTTGCAAAAACCAAGCTACTGATTGTCAGTGGCAGGTTCCTCAGACTTAAGATAATTGGACCACGATCTTTCCCTCTTTCAGGGATTTGGTTTTGAGTCACTTTAGATTTCAAGTAGGTCTCAAAGGTCACTGAAAAAGATGGTGAGATTTAATATCAATCGTCATTAATCCAGTTCGTTTTACATTTGTGCCCAATTCACATGAGCTAGATGCATTTAAAATGGACTGTCACTACAGACTGCAATGCTCTCCTATTACTCAGGCATCCAAAGCTGACCTTACAATTTGCAGACTTTAGAGGGAGAAAATGGTTGAGAACTCCCCAGCCCCAGAACCAAAAAAGGAATTCACGCAAGTCCATACAGCTCCCAAATATCCAGGAGATGGGACTGTCCCATGCCCCAGTGTAGGGGCCCTGGCGCTTGTCATTTTGAGTCCATGTGTGTGAGATCAGTTAGGCATTGCTACATTTTGGGTCCATATCCAATTTTAATCTTGTGTGTGAAGTGAAAGAGATTATAGACAGGATTAGCAGTCAAGATATCTACAGGCAGCAGGGACTGCATAGTTCTCAGTGCACATTACGGTTAGTGCACAATAGGAAACATCTTTGCCAGATGATAAAGAAGAAACATTCTCTTTGTTGCCAACAATAAATACATACGGAGGAGTAAATGTGTCATGAATAAAGTGTCCCTAAGGAAATCTTGGAAGACCCTACATGTATATTTACATACTTTTAGTCCCAGCAGCAGTAGATCTATGTAGTGTAGTGCCCTGCCCAGGCTAACTAGTTGTTAAGAATTATCACAGCTATCTTTTTCATGCTAGTTACTATCTGCTCATAATGAGACAATTTAGGCAGCCCTGCCAGAAACCCAGACTTTTGAGAACCAAAGCAATGGTGTTGATTATGATCACGAATCTCTCACACAAACACACACAAAACCTGAGCAAGTGCCTGCAGGTTTCAGAATAAATTGAATAAGAACTCAAAATACAACACCTCTTTCACAGCATAAACTGGATCCTGCACATACTTTAGGACCTGATGCTCTTAATTTTTGGTAGAATATTGAACCTGAGGAAAATCTGAGCCCAAAGTGCACAATCTGATAGCAACTGTCTGTCTATTAGATTACCTTGCAGATATATATCTACAAAAATATATGTAAAAAGTCTATGTAAGAAAAAAGTCAGTGAGGCAACTGCAGATTCAATTTTTGCAGTTGGAAAAAAATAATTCCTCATACTGAAGCTCTGCATTCTCCCTGCTGCTTTATGTTATCTCTGTTTTAACTGCTGTTAATGAAAGGCTCATCAAAAGGCAGTGCCAATACACAATAATATTTAAATGCTGAATTAATCTCTTAGTCCTCATGGCAGCTCCCTTTCAGCTATTTTCCCCGCATACTTGGCATCTCCATTTATATGAATGAGAATGGGGCAAATGTTGATCAGCTGTGCAGCCCAGAGAGAAGAATTTGCCTCATGTCTTATATATTTGTTAAAGCATGGAAGGAAAACATTGCCTGCTGAAGTAAATCCAAGCAAGACCTGCTAAAATTAAGTAAATAACTCAGAACAAGACTCAGCTTAAGTCATGCCTTTCTGCAGTTGCCATTCTAACTTCTAATAATTTGACCAACTTGTTGCCTTACTTCTGTTGGTAAAAAAAGCCAAATCTTCCCCTGCTTCTAAATGCAGTTCTGCTTTCAAAAGTGACTAAAAATGGCGTGCAGGCTCCATGTTTATTCTGTGTCAGCTATTTCCTTATCAAATGTGCTCAGTTAGCAAGTAAGGAACATTTTCCTACTATGTGCCAGCCCTGCAAATTTCAGGTGGAATGTAGGGGTCAAGCTGGATTTTTTCTTTTCATGTAGGATGACCAAAAAAACAAGGATCCTGGAAACAAGAGTAAGCCCTCAATTACGTGTGTGCAAGTCAGTACTCTTCTGTGGCTTTGCATAAGTTTTAACTCACTGGAAATGATTCTGTGGTGATAAACAGGAGGGAATAGACAACCAGCTCGCTGTGTTCCTTATGCTAGATCTGCTGTGCTAACAGGAGCAAAAAGTGGTGAACAGTGATTTTAATTACTAAGTGAACAGATAGAAAATATATGTCTTTATTTAAAGAAGAAATTTGCTTGAAATTCCATGTTTTCAGAAATCTCCAGCTTTGACATAATAGAGCATTCAAGCTGACGAGGAAAATAAAATGCTTCTCTTTTTTCTTGGACATGTCATTCATGTGGTGGGAAGAGAATGTATAGTCCTCATAACAAGAAAGGAACAAAATTATTTGAATTATTTTGCATGCAATAGCAAGTTAAGATATCATGTTTACAACCCTTATTTATGAGAAGTCTTCATTGTGGAGTGCAGCAGGTCAGAAGATCACTGTGTGTACATTTTGCTATATGGGAATGATAACCCACTACAGGTATTTTATTATTTATTAATTCATCTTTGCAGCTTTGGCAATCAAGCATGAAAATTTTCTACTCTTCTGAAATCTCTGTAGTCTGGAAGACCAGAGTTGAAGTTTATCTGATTTTTTTTTTAAAATACTTAAGATAGCAAATAGCAAAAGTTTTCTCAATTCAGCGTTTTGATCCTGCAATCCCAGTGCAGATTAAACTGGGCTATACAAGGCATACTCTGTTAGCAAGGGTAAAAAAAATCCAAGAATATACTGTCCAGCTATGTAAATACTGATCAACTGAGTCTTTGCTTGGATGAAATAATTCTATTCTGACTTTTTCTTCCAGTTGTGTGTAATACTGGAGCCAATGCAGGAACTGATGTCAAGACATAAAACTTACAATCTAAGTCCTCGAGACTGCTTGAAGACCTGCTTGTTTCAAAAATGGCAGAGAATGGTGGCCCCACCAGGTATGTTTCATTTCCAGTATTTTACTTATTTTATAGTTAAATTAATATAGAAACAATGGGAAAATTTACTGCAAATTTACTTACAAAGGAAAGTAATAAGAATTAGCACTGTACCAAAAGTAAGCCTGAAAATGATTCTGATGTTTTATGATTTCAGTCTGACCCAACTGATTTATAGATGTGTACATTCAGATGGTTTCACTATGACTAGGATATAATTTAGTACAAAAATATGTGTAGATGGAATGCAAAATGCCTACTGGCTCCATCAGAATTCATCGTTTCTGTAATTCAGCTTCCTGCTGTGACTCTGAAATTACAGCTACAATTCATAATTAATTGTCTTTGAGACAAATATAATGTTATTTACAGGCCTGGACCTAATCTCCTTCCTCTTACACCTCAAAATAATAATTCTCTCTTTTTCCAGATTATTAAAGATTTGCGTATCTAAGACTATTCATGTGGGTGCCCAGGCCAAATTTTGAAAAGTACAATTGCCCCTCTGTTCTTTTCCAATTTAAGAGAAGTTATATAATTGTCCTAATTCGGTCTGAGTTTGGAAGACTCGCAGAGGAATGGCATTCAGTACTCTCTAACATGTTCCCTTGGGAGTGGCAGTTCTAAAGATGAAGCCCACATCAGAGGTAGAAGGAACTGAAATGGTGGTTGCTCGTATGCTGTATCGATGGCAGCAGTAGTGTAGAAAGCTACCTTTAGCCTTTGCCTCTGGCTGGGTCAGTTGAGTCTGTTCCCTACCTCAGAATAAGACCTGGATTTTTGTTTAGCACTAACTGCTACTCGCTGTGTGACCTTCAGCAAGTTACACAGTCAGTTTGAACACCATGATAGACATCATGATACTCCCATTGATAAAATGCTTTCAAATATCTTTATAGATAATGCTGGGAGAATAAACTTCATTAGTCCATTATACAAAATTGAAAGCAGATTCCATTGGTCTAAATATTATCCTACAGTTCATATGTTAAATCTAATAGTAGTACATATACTAGTAAACATAGGAATTTAAAACTAGATGAAAAAATATTTCAGCAGTTCTGCTTATGGATCATTTTAGTACACACTTTACAATATCTGCCATTTGCTTTCCTTCTTACCATTTTATTGCAGCAGAACCCACAAGACAACCGACAACCAAACGGAGAAAAAGGAAAAACTCTACCAGCAGCACTTCCAACAGCAGTGCTGGGAACAACGCAAATAGTACCAACAGCAAGAAAAAGTCAGCTGCTGCAAACCTGAGTCTATCAAGTCAGGTACCTGTAAGTCTCACTTTCCTTTTAGGCCTGAATCGCTTATGGTGCTTTAATTCTTTCCTTACATTGTAAAGAAGGTGCATTCTTGAGCCTAAACTGTCACAAGCAAAAGGCGATCTTGCACAGTGTGCTGTGGAAGCTGGGGAATTAGTGGAGAGATGTGAAGAAGCCATTCTGCAGTGCAGCTTTAACGAATGACCCTCAAGCAGGGGTATCCTGAGGACCAGATGTTATTTTTTTAAGGCCTGGGCCAACTCCCCTTCTTGTCAGTGGGAGTCCTTCCACTGGCGGTAGGACTCAGATTGGGCCTCATGTTGTTAGACATAGCATGAGTCTTGCAGACTTCCATCTGCCAGGTGCTAAGTGAGGATGAGTCCCTGTGGAACAGGACAGCCGTACCTGAGCAGACCGCTGGTCTCTCTACGTTAGTACCTTACCTCTAGTCGGTGCCGGGTTCAGATGGTCCAGTGGAACAGATTATGAATTAACTTACCTGCAGAGGTTATCTCTTTTTCCAACCACTCCACTTGCAGAGGGTAGATCCCCTGGAATATGGGTCTCAGCTTATCCACCCTGCTAGCTGTCACTGTTGACATCCTAATTATATAGGGAAACACCAAGTCATTTCCAGAACTGTACCAGCACTTTAATAATCACATTTATTGCCTTATTCACAAGATAGGGGTAATCAAACCCCAAATTGTGACAAAGTGTGCCTTAGTCAATAGCTTATGCATTTTAAAGCTAGGGAAATTAATTTGATATTATAGGAACTGTAAAGTTGTATCTTGGGAATAACAAGCGGGGATTTTTATTGGATTTCTGATCAGCAGATAGGAAAGGGCTAGGTCTCTTCTGAAGCCTGACAAAGAATATAGGCCTTTTGTTAGCACAAAGAAGGCACTTCCTAGGAAGCTTGAATACCCAGATAAAAAAGAGGAGTAGACTAACACCAGTGAAATGAAATGAAGATTTTTGTTTAGCAACTGATTCAGCAATCCACTACCTTACAGAAGCTTTGGGCTTTGGTACATTAAACTCATATTTTCTCCTTGTCATATTAAAATTTTCGCGCGGCTCGCATCCCCAGAATCAGGTTCTTTCCCTCATATAGGCACCTCTGGGTTTTTCTAGGAGCACAAAGCAGCCAGAAGGCCAGCTACCTGATCCTCTGGTGGCAGGGGCCACTCTGCCTCGCTGGCTGTCTGCCAGAAAACCCGTTGGATCAATAATCAACCATATTTAAGAAAAAAACAACAATTAGATGTAAAACTGAGCAACCAGCTAGTTCCCTGCTGACTCCAAGTTTAAAAGACAGTAAAATCACTTTATCTCGGCTACTTCCTGCCCTGAGTTCAGTTCAGTAGGACCAGAATCAGAATCTGACCCTCTGCCTCTCTTCAGCCTGCTTGTCCTTGGAGAGACGACTTTTGTTGGCTTCAGTGATAGCCACGTGTGCTCGTATGTTTGAGTGTAACTGAGCCCTCTGATAGTTACCTGTCACTCCCACTGATATTCAAGCTGACTTCAGGTACTGAAAGGCTACTCCTGACAGATGAAGTAGTCAAGGTTACTCTTCCTGATGGAGATGATAGTTGAGCATCTGAGACATAATGGTGAAGTTTATTATGGTATGAGGGATGGATTTTTAGTCTTCATTGACTTTCAGGATGCTGCGTAGTCAATATTTTTCCATATTGTTTACTCTCTGTACCAGAGTAGCAAGATGGTCCAAACTCTTTTGTATAGAGGATCAGGTTCCATTTTTAGGACTCTTCTCCTTCCCTCTGCACAGTGGAAAATGCTTAGCTGTTCGGTTTGACATACTAACAGCTCTTCCCATCTTCCCCACAGCAAACATAGCAAACCAGATGGAACTGATGTTTGGGCCACCCTGTAGAGTAGACAGAGCTCAAAATAATTTTAGCAGTAGGATATTTTGGTGTAAAACTATTCAACACTTTTCAGTTAAATAAAGAGATGTTACCATGTTTCTTCAAAATTATGCATTCTTTGAAGTGGGCCTTATTACAGGCATACCACTGCTTTCTGAATTTAGCTGCAGGTAGCAGTAACTTGCTTTCTGTTTCTTTCTCTTAACTTTACCTTAAAGCAAATCATTCAGTAGATAATGTTTGATTTTCCTCATATGCAATAGAAGACAAGATATCCTCAAACACAATTTGACATTTTTCTACTAACTAAAAGTTTCATTTGGCCATAGAACTTTCTGTGAATGGGACTTTCCTGCTCAGTAGAAAAAAAAAACTATTGAAATCATTCATTTTCAGTGTTATAAGCATTTTCCCCCTCATTATTAGAGAAGAGGAATGAAATCACTGCATCTTCTGTCCAGATGACTCACATAAGCAGAGCTAGTTTCAGTTCCACTTTTCCCATCATCCTCTCTGGAGAAACCCAACAATGAGCTCATATCCATACCAAACTTGGATTAATATGAAGTCATGTACTCCAGCTTTCTCTTTTTCTTCAGTGATTTCTTCCCAGCCAGCAAAGACAGTCTCTCCACCATAACAGAATCTAATTCCTAATTTCCTGTCACTTTTATGCTCCTATGTTCGTTTCTCTTTGATAACAAATTTATCCTGGTTAGAGAATGATTCCTTAGCCTCTCTTCTGTGTAATGTTTCTTGGTTTAGGACATTAGTAATTATTCAGTTTTGCTCCTACAGTAATGCTGTGTACACTATGGCAAGTGTGTTAACTTCCCATATCCCTCATCCACATTTCTCACCCACACCATTAACTTCTGTTTCTTTAATGAGGTCTTCATGTCTGGAAAGGCAAATGTTCCATGTTCAAGACAGTGACTGGAAAGCAGCTGGAGTACCATCAGCTGTGACAAAGCTTGAAACTTCAGAGAGATTTGTCATTTTTCCCATAGCCCCTTCCAGATCTTCAGATAAATATATGGGGCTAAGCAAACCTTGATCAATGAGATGGACCATTTTTTTGTCACATACATGTTCTTCTTCAGTAATAGGAGGTTGTGCCATTTCCTCTACCTGCGTTATTTTCTGATCAGTTCTTCAGGCAGGGACAGTGCTGAAAATACAGAGCCAAGCTCAGAAAGTGAAATGATGTGGTTGTATTTCCATGCATGGTTCAGGTTGGCACTGCACCCTGAAGTTCAGTTGCTGCAGCCTAATCAATCAGTAGCATCTGTGCCCTTTGGGTTGCCTTAAGTTTACGAGCACTTTGACTGTGTTGACACATTCTGATACATCTTTAATAACACAGTCTTGAAAAGCATCTTAAGGGTCTCTGCCAGTGGGTGGGTATGCATCTTCTCTCTCATCAGTAATTTGAAAAGGGTCAGTCGCAGTCTGTACTCATATCTCTAACTATTTTTTATACTTTCTCAACGCTGCTAAATAAAATACAAAGTTTTGCCCTTTTGACAGTAACTTGCACTCTATTACACTCATTTTCCTTTATAACGTGGTTTCTGTGATTCTGTTAGTTCTCATGCTACTGGTTGCAGACCTTCAGCATCTCCTCATGTCAATATGACTCTTCCTGCCCAAGTCCCTTGTTTAACACCTTTCCTACATATTACATATTTCCTACATCCTTAAAACACATGTAGTGAGCCAGTGTGCTATATGATTGCACTGCACAACTCATGCCTAGGTTGGCCTATTACTTGTCCAGTGATTCTTTTGACCTTAATCTGTAAGTGCTGAGGCAACACACTGTAGTGTGTTGGAACTAGAACAAGTGCCACTAAAGTCTCTCCAATAGCACAAGCGCAAAAACATTTTTCTCACCAGAAGTCTTCTTCTCCCAGGCTCTCACTGGTGCAGGCTCTGTACTTCCAGTGATTTCCACAGATTCATGGGCTTTTTTTAGTGCGTAAAGAAAGTTGACAGAACAGGGACCCAAAAACTGTAGTCCACTCAGCTGCCTTAGTCTCAGCAGATGCCAGTCATTTGAACTGTTCTCGGATTTGTTCATGTTCTCGATCACATCTGATCTTTGGAAGAAATGTTAACCCATTGTGCAGAAACTGGAATTACTAATTTCCTCTTTTCTCCAAACAAAAAGATGGGCAAGACTCCTCCAAGGTTCATAGAAAACCCGCCTTTCTAATGTTAGCTTTCCTGTGATTTTAAAGAAATTAGTTATCTAATTTGGGTGTGTCACTGTCTTATCACTTACACAGTACTAATTTCTTCTAATATTTAAAGTTAGCTGCAGTGTTTTCCCAAGTCTTTGCTCAGTTTTCAAGCCTCTTTACTGGCTGAAATTGTATTCCTTTGCATTTTTCATATTATTCTGTTTCAAATAAAACTTTCTTGCAAGCCCAGGCCCTTGTACGTAGAGCAGCGACTTGTATGCTGTGATCTGTGGATTACAGGTATATGCAAGATCAGCAGAAGAGGTCCATACAGATGTATCACTTTCTGTTAAATTTAATAAAAAACGTGCACATTGATCCATTTTCATCTATTTGAATTTGGAAATTTGACAACAATGCACAACTCTCACAAACTCTAAGAACCATTGCTCTAGGCCGCTCCCAGTCATAACCATAGAAATTAATAGGTGGATTTTGCTTTCATTTACTAATGAAGATTCTGTTGAGTGTAATACTGTAACCATGAACCCAGTGAAATATAATTTGTGTTGGAAAGAATAAAGCATCACTACATGCCACTAAGTAAATCAAATGTTCTTTGTTACATCCAGAGTCTTAATTAGAGCCTCCTTGCACTCTTTAAGCAAGTTACATACCTCAATAATCTCTCTTTCTCTTTGTAGTTCTCTGTAAGCTCCTCAAAAGCCAAATCCATAAATAAACCTGCTAATGTGGAAGGGAGCAATACAATCTCTTACGTGTTTCAGAAACAGGGGGTAGGTTTAGGTGGATTGTAATGAATGTAGTAGTACCAGAGCTGCAGTTCCAGGGACAGAAGATTTGTGTCAGAAATTATCCCGTGTCTCAGAACTGTGCAATTCAGAATCTAAGATTTAGCCGTAAGGATATGAGAGTGAACAAATTGGTTTCCAGTTGTTGCGCTTTAAGAAAAATATTCCAAACAAGACCAGAATGTCAAGTTAACAGAGAGAAGTATGATGAGACGTGAAAGATAACCATTTTCCGCTAGAAAGTGTTTACTCTGAAACCTAATTAAAATGTCGGTTCTGTTTCTGTAGATCATTTCAACACCAATGTCAGTCCGATGTATTTGCCTTGGAGGCAGTGACCATTACGGGTGCGGGCAGCAATGGGGCTCTCAGTCATTAATAATTTTTGTGGCAAGGAGCTAGGAAGTCAATTATTAAAATAATCACCGCTAATACAATTCTGTAAGAAGGAAGGAAGGAACGAAGGCAGGAGGAGGTACCCTTCTTCTTTTGACTTAGCACTTAGAGGTATGCTGGCTGCTAAAACTAGTGCAACCTTCAGTCCTTGGAGTATCAGGCTTGCTTGAATAATATACTTGATAGTTTCAGGCATTTTTAATTATCTCAGGTTTGTGAAGCACTTTTCTTCTACTTCTGGGGACTGTGACACCTGAGCTACGAACTAATCACCATAACACACTGAGCGGGGCTACGTATTAAACAGCAGCAAAGATGGCAGGCACAGGTATGGGGAATTTTACATGGCCCACCGCACATTTTTACCTCCTGACTCCAGTAAGACTTTGTTTAGCCATCAGATGATCTTTAAAATCCCAAGTTAAAAAGTTTAGTTACCTAACTGGTCATAGCAGAGCTAAACTTTGAGGCTAGTTATAAAAAAGATGAAGCTTGAGAAATGACTGGTCTGTTAAATAGAAGTGTTTGCATTTGAGTTGTGTATGAAGTGATCTCTGTGTATAGTTTATATGCATCAATTTAAGTTTGGATGGCAATTAGGGTTATTTCAGGATGAAAGGTATGATATACATGAAAGCTGCTTTTGTGGTTATATTATTAAATAATACATTTCTATCACATAATGTAAAACATCCACTGCTTTATTTACGGTGCCTCACTGCAACCATATTTTACTATCATGAGACATTCCTTGAGCAAAAATGTTGTTTCTAAGCACAAAGTAAATTAATAAGATTGAGTGACTACAGTCTAAATCTTTTTTAAACTAATCTAGTCAAATATGTGCTACCATAACTAGGCCATAGCAGTGTGTGCTGCCGTGCAAGAGACTAGGGTTTAATTCTTGGATTCTGCTTCTCACTCCATGAGCAGGAGCTAGGAGCACTCCAGAGCTGCAGCCTCAACCCTGGGAGGGATGGAGCCTTGTGTCATTCAACAGCAGTGACCCCCACTGGCCAATTTAAGGAGAAGCATTGAGGGGCTCTAAAAGGAGTCACTTCCAGTCCTCCTCAGAGGTTGGTGGTCATTGCACGGGAACTAGTGAGTGGAGGTTCAATGGGGTGCACTCGGTGGGGTCTTCAGCTTTCAGTCTGAGGAGCAGAATCCTCTCCGGGGAGGAACCAGCATGTGCGCTTCCTGAGACACTATTTTTGCCTGACATAACTATAAGTGGCAGGATTGTCAAGAATATATATATTATTTTTTAAAAATGTCCTGTAACTAATGCTGTGATATCTATCTTTTAAATAGAATGAGGGAAAACTCCACTAACCTCAGTATAATTGTAGTTTAATTCCCAGAGAGAGAGAGAGAGATACTCAATAGCATGGAGAGAAATATAAGTGCAAACTGTGCTCTCAGTGGGTGTCATTATATTAAAGGAATAATATTTGCAAAGAATCTGAGAAATTAGAGATGGAAATACTTACAAGGTCACTGAGCATCTCCCCGCTGATGCACAAATGTTTCCTACCACAGATTGAGATTTTTCCCAGCCCAGCGTTAGGTGACCTGAGCAGCAAAGCTAGCACTGTTCCAGTGGGGTCATTAATCCTCAGTCTGCGGTTCTCAGTAACAGGAATATTGTCTTAGCAGTGGGGGTTACATTTTCGTTTACTTAATGTCATCTTAGTACCCTAGTTTACACCTCGTCGGGTTGGCCTAAAGTGATCCTCTTCCTTTCAGCACTTGCAGCTGTTAAGCATATTTACCCCTCCCAATCGTTTGGTGGATGTAATACATATTTAATTCTTTCACGTGGCCTCCCCAGCCAGCTGTTCTAGCCCCATAGTTATTTTTGACGCGCTTCTCTAAGTCTCATCCAGGTTGCCGACCTCTTGCTGGTATGGCAACAGGGAGAACTTGATGTCCATACTCAAGAGCGTTGAAGTGAGAGGAACTGTTGCCACCTCGGTCTGTGATTCTGTATTTCAGCCACTGTGGTCCTTTTTGCCTGCCGTATCACACTGCACGCTCAAACCCAACTTGCTGTCCTCTGCCAGGTCTCTCTTGTCATTAATGCTCTCACGACACAATGGGGTCAGGTCTGGTTCAGCAGTGCACACTATATATATTGTCTGTTGTTTAGAGGGATGAAATAAATTAGGATAAACTTGGTTATAAAGACCTTTGTCTTTTAAACTTCTGTGTTGCAAAGCTGTGTGTGAGTTTTATTTAATCAAATATTTTATGGATATATGAAGTAACAAAATATAGACAATGTAAAGAAGAAATCATGTAACACTTTCCATCTACTCACAAATTTTTCACATAGCACAGGCTGAAAATGTGATATAAACATACTTCTGTAGCATTTCAGCCTTTGCCGAGGGATATCGAGAAACAGTGTAAATACTTACAGGCAATAATTTGTATTGTTTCATGGTGAAGGAAGTACATATCTGATTAAAAAGAAACCTTATTGAATGCAAACATTTGTATTCTGTTTGCTTTTTACAAATACTTTTACATTCATAAGGAGGAACAGATCCTTTAAAATATGAATCTGTTGTTCGCTAGGATTCTTGGAAGGGCTTGTTAAATCAGCAGGTACAAAGCTAGACATCTGGAATTACTGCACTTTTACCAAACGCTAGCTGATGCCCTGCCACCTGAGCTGCATGAAAAGATGCATCCCACAAATTTCCTTAGCGGTTAGCACAGCAGCCTGATTCTCCGTTGAACAGAGAGAAGTGAGCTCTCTGGCTTTGCACCTTTGCTTTCCAATCTCAAGTTTGCACCTTTCTATCCCATGCTGGTGGTTAGGTTTTTTGCAGCAAATCTGTGATGCACTGGAGTACAGTAGGCGGTTTACTTGTTTTCGTGGAAGGACAATTTGTACTTAAAGCAGTGATTAGATGAATTCTTTCTTTTTTGCATGCTTCAGTTTTTGATGACTACTAGCTTCATCAGTGTAATTATAATTAGCACTCTTCATCTTCCTTTTACGGTACCAGCTGGACAGATTGGTCCTCTTACTGCACAGATTGGCGGCAGGGTTGCCTACATGGAGTTAGGTGACAGGCACCATGAAATAACAGATGGTAAATTCAGGGCTTGTTGGCAATCAGCAGGTTTTTGCTAATGACTTAATTAGCTATGCAAATTGTCAAATCAGTGTGAACATTGTTTTTATCGAAAACTTTACCTAAATTAATTACCATAATTAAGTAGCAGAATGTCAAGTATATTGGATGCGTAAAAGGGCTTGGCTGGCTATGGATAAGAGAGTTACCATCTTTATTAGAGTGCTGTGCTCCACATTTGAGAAGTCTGAGGATAAGAAATGTGGTTTCTTTTAAACTACTTTTAAAATACGCATATCGCCGAGTTGCAACTGAGATGCACCCTGGTGCCTTTCCAAATAAAATGGCTCAGGAAAGAATTACTGGATGAAGACTAAATATTTCAAGCAGGAGTTTAAGACAGTTTCATAGCCTGCTTATTTGCTTAAAATCATGCGCATTTTTCAGTCTACCTGCTTTTCAGTTCTGGGGTTTCTGAGATCCAGAGCCATGAGCATGCGGCTAGAGAGGTGTATTATAGTTTTTCATTTGAATTAGAAAAAAAGCGTAAGCCTGTCTCCTGGTTCCTACTATGCAGGAGCTTTTAACTCTGTTGTTCAAATATCACAAAGTTGAGAGATGCAAATTCTCTAACATAATTTTTTTAAGTTGATTTTTTCTCTCTCAAGGTTTCCATATAACAAATATTGGGTGCTGTTCACAGGATGTGATGGTGGTAGGAGAACCAACTCTGATGGGAGGCGAATTTGGGGATGAAGACGAAAGGCTTATCACTAGATTAGAGAATACACAGTATGATGCAGCAAATGGCATGGATGATGAAGAAGATTTCAACAATTCACCTGCACTGGGAAATAACAGCCCGTGGAACAGCAAACCTCCTGCTAACCAGGAGACTAAATCTGAAAACCCCACACCACAAGCTTCCCAATAGGTTATTCTGCAGCAATACCCACTGCAATGTATGTCAGTGGGTTATTAATTACTGTTTCACAGCATTCTCCAAAATAAAATTTAAAAAAACACCTTTCAACGCATACAGTATCTATTTCTAAACTAAAGCTATCTGATTTTTTTTAATTAGGGAAAACTCTTGTATAAGCTTCCATATACATTTCTTGGAAGCATTCACATACGACATGATACTGGCACTGACCTCAATTAAAATAATTGAAAATTAAATAGCATTTCATGGCAAATTTCTGACAATGCATTTTATTGGAAGGGGTTGGTTTTTTCCTCATCAAACAATGGCCATATTTTAACAAGTCA